AGGCTTTTTATACTGCTGGGGACAGCACAGGTGCTGGCTCTGGGCTCTAGCTCCCCCTGGCTGAAGATCTGGGAGGAGCCAAGCAGGGTTATTTTGCCCCAAGTGGCACAGTTTGCTCCACAACAAAGTGCATGTCCAAGCACGTGCGCTGAAGCAAAAACCCCTGGCTCAAATTTGCACTGCTTCTATTTGAGCTGCTGCAAGCGCACATGCTTGCATGTGTTGGATGTGCCCTATGAGTTTTCTTGAAAATAATAATACTTCTGTATAGAGCCTTGTGTTTCTCTTTAATGAGCAGTGACAGACAGGGGATTTTAGGGTGCAGTGAAAGGTTGTAGTGCTTGCACCATGATTGGGGGTTGATTCTGTTGCCTTGATTAACCCCAATTTTATGAAGTACCATGTCCTTATCATGGAGATTCAGCATGAATCAGTCATTGAAGAATACTTTGGTGTGGGTTTTTTGTAACTGAATGCTAAAACTAATATATTGGGTCTTATTCTCAGGTAAAGAGCATACAGGATGCTATAAGAGACAAAAAACAACACTTCAACTTCCTTGGAGAAGAAATTAATTTAGTACCCTCTGTGGGTATTTTCATTACTATGAATCCTGGTTATGCTGGACGAACTGAGCTACCTGAAAACTTGAAAGCCCTTTTCAGGTAAAGGCAGACAAGCTTTTGGACTCTGCATGACATCATTTGAAAAAGTAGCTTGTTACTGTTTTCAAGCGACTCCAAACAAACCATATTTCACTTTTGTTCCAATTCACTTTTAATGAGAGTTAATTGATATCTCACATCTTGGACAAATTATCTTGTTTTCTAAATATATAAGGAAGATAAATCTGCCTTGGGCTGGTAGTGAAAAAAGATTCTTACCTCTTGGCTGTTTGGTGACTCTGTAAACGGAGTTAGCATTGTTGGTTTAGTGACACAATACAGATGCCACCATCTTAATTAATACTAACAGTCCCCCTTTCATTCTCAACAAAGGGGCCTAATTGCCTTAAGTCTCATCTTAATCTAATGGTGACCCTTTCCCACCAGGGTTGGAGACTACCTTGATGAGCATTATGTAACCTAGGCTTGGCATGACCTCTACCATACTCCATGCTCTACTATATTCTTTCTAGATTGGTAAGAGATTTAGGACAAGTTTTTAAGAGGTGCATAGGCACCTGTGGCAGGGCGCTGTTTGTGCCTGCCACTTTAAGACCTAAGCCAAGCAGCCAGCCGATGCCTGATTGCAGCAGCCATTTTAGATTCAGGGCTGCCTATATAACCAGGGCATTTTGCTGCTCGCAGGCCAGGCAGCAACATTGCCTGGATGAAAGTCTTCATGGAATGTCCTGGAGGTAAGGGCAGGAGCTGTAGGGGATGGATTGGAGGCTTCTGGTCCTGGGCATGACCTAAAACTGCACCCTGCCAGGAGTGGGTGGCCTGGTGGGGATCTCAGTGGCGTGGGAGCCCCCAGGAAATGCCAGGCCAGTTACCACCCCAGTGAAAGGTGGGTTGGGGCACCTTAACCCCAGCTCCCACAACTGGGTGGGTTAACACTGAGTAGGGGCCAGAAGGCAGACCCCAGGAGTGAGAGTGGGGCTAGAGTGGCAGAGGCCTGACAGAGAGTGCCCTCGACTGGTCAGGGCAGGGGCCAGGACCAGAACAGTCAGAAGAGCCAGGGGCCCACCACAAGGGACGCCCAGAGCTGGAGGCCTGGGGTTCTGACTGGCCTTAGAGGCAAGGCCAGGGCCTGTGTGGCCAAAGGTCCCAGGGGGACCACGCCCGAGAGGGGAAATGGTTCCAGGGAGCCAGGCAGCCCGAATGAAGGCAGGGTAGGTCGCCTGAATGGAGGGATCTTGGGGGGTCCTGATGGGAGGATTCTGAGGCCCAGTGTGGGGCCTGGCGACAGTAACAGCTGGATGCCATCTGTGAGGCATGGGCTGCAGTGTAGGGGAGGTATGGAGCCGCAGATAGCACCCCCTGGCATTGGGGCAAGAAAATGGGCAGCCTCCCACCTAATTAATATTCTTAATTAATTAAGAACAAGGCATGACAGGTGAGAAGGTGGGTGGGCCGAAGGTAAAATCAGCCCTGAGAAGGCAGCCTGTTACCGCACCTAAGGGTATAGTTAGTGCTTGTCTGAATCTCTGGTGGGTAAATATCTTAAAAAACCCTAGTCCTTAGTGTCCTGAGTAATCGAGTCAGCAAGTTTCTTCACAGTTATCAGTAAGACTCCATCATTATCTGATCTTGGACATAGTAAGCATTTTGAACTACTGGTTTTCATGAAGATTCATCCTGTAGCCATTTTAGGAAGCCAATTTCTGTAACTGTATCTTCATATTATTATGAACTTCCCTCCCATAAATGGATCTAGAATTTTGAAAAGGGGAGTGCAGATGGGGAATTGCATCATTACATATAAAACACATTTTTCTCCAGTTAAAAATAAAGTAGAAGATTAATATGTTGGAGGTCTAGGCCTCTATTATTTGGTTTAGGACTGAAGCAAAAATGAATATAACTGTGTTGGAATGAGTTAGAAACAATCTGCAGGGATGTGAAATAGGAGCATCATTAGCAGGGGTGGCTAACAAGCAGCAGAATTACAGAACAAAGGATAGCTTGATTGGTAGAACATCAAGACCATTAAAAAGAACAGAGAGTTATTAAAACCTGTATTCCACAGGGTTAGAAGGGATCAGGTAGATTACAATGAGCCATGGAGTCAATTGACTCCCTCAGCAGTACCTGACTAGGAATGCTGCTGCCACTGCCAGGCAGCTGGTTTTAAACTTTGCATGGAGCAGGACTCAAAGGGTGTTTGAAAGTATATTAGTGCCACCGCCTTTGATCCACCCCTGGTCTTGACGCAGACAGTTTCAGACTGAAAAACACATTCTTTAATGGCTAGAACAAGGCTCAGGTAAATCCAACTGGCTGGGAAAAGTGTTTATCCTGAATTTAACAGATTGGCCTATGATCCAGTATTGCACCTTAATGGGCTTTGTATTGTATATAGGTCCTCTAAATCAAAATCAACATTAACCTCAACTACCCTTCATCATTAGAATGCTGCAATGCGTGTCACTCATTTGTGCAAAAAAATGTCTATTTTGTGGTTTATATATACACTGTTTGTACTTAAAGAGATAATGCCATTCTATTATATTTTCTCTATCTTTGTACGTAGACCATGTGCAATGGTTGTGCCAGACTTTGAGCTGATCTGTGAAATCATGTTGGTGGCTGAGGGATTCATTGAAGCCCGGCTGTTAGCCAGAAAGTTCATTACTCTTTACCAGTTATGCAAAGAGCTTCTCTCAAAACAAGTGAGTCCACTGCAGTGGGTTTCAAGTCTAATTAAATTTCTTGATCTCTTAATAACCAGAAACACTAGGGGTGATATTCTCCTTTAAGTTCTAAGACTTGACTGACATTTGTATCAACAGATACACAAGGTTGAATTTAATGAATATGTTTAGGCTGAAAATTAGGTAAAGATTTCTATTTATCAAAGCAACGAGGTTCTGGAACAGATTCCACTAGGAGTACTGGGGTAACGCCTCAAACAACATTGTAAGGTTGCAGGAGGAAAGGGTTTGGATCCAAAAACCAATCGGAACAAAGGAAGGAATGTCCCATATTAAAACTGTAGCCAATAGGCTAATGACATTATCAGAATCTGAAAATTCTTGCTGCTCCTTTTGGCTGAGTCTGTCATAGTTTACCTCAACCACAGCATTTCTGACTTCTGAGCTGATAGGACTAGGGGAAAATTGGAGTTGCCTGCAGCCTAATGCTCCTAGAGCTGTGGATCTTCCCTGCACAATTTCAGATCTAGAGGAGCATTGGATGAAGTAGAGAGGATAGTGGACTAGGGAGGATGGGGATGGAGTAGAGAAGATGGCATGGGTCTCATCTCAACTTCCCCTAGTGTATTGTACAATCTGACTAGTAAACTGACTGATTCTTGTTGAAGGAGTCTGGGCTTGGAAATCCTCCCAGGAGCTAGATACAATGTGTTCAGCAGTGAAAACTATGTTGATAGTAGAAGATTGAGATGAATTGCTGCTGTTGGCTTGCATGGCAGTGTGGGTGTTTGAAAGTACTATGCTCAGGTTCTGGCATGCTAACTATCAGTGACTCATTTCATTTTGGCCTTAGGATCACTATGACTGGGGCTTGCGCGCAATTAAGTCAGTTCTAGTTGTTGCTGGATCTCTTAAGAGAGGTGACCCAGATCGGCCTGAAGACCAAGTTCTTATGCGCTCTCTTCGTGACTTCAACATCCCTAAGATTGTGACAGATGACATGCCAGTGTTCATGGGACTAATTGGAGATCTTTTTCCTGCTCTCGATGTACCCAGAAAACGAGACTTGAATTTTGAATCAGTTGTGAAGGAGGCTGTGTTGGACCTAAAACTGCAGGCTGAAGACAACTTTGTGCTCAAAGTAAGTAGGGAAAAAATCTTCCATATCCACTCAAACTTTCATTGAAACTTTATCATTCTCTAGGCCAGGGTATCCTAACTGGTTGCCCATGGGCTGCATGCAGCCCCTGAAAGGTTGGAATGAGGCCCACAAGCGTGGGTTCCAGGCATGGCTGCCACTCCCTCACCCCCTGGCTGTAACTCCTGCTACAGCAGCTAGGTTATTGGGGTTCCCCTGCCCTCCCCTCGCTTCTACTTTGTTCTGGCAGCCTGAGGTGAGGCAACATAATGGGAGAGGGCTGGGGTGCCCATGTTGTGTGCGTGTTGAGGGAAGGTCCAGGGCTGTTCACACTGTGCACAAAAAAAGGCAGGAGCCAGGCAGCCCACACTGCAGGTGAGTGCAAATCTGGGAGGGAAGGGGAAGCTGGGCTGCCCTTATGCCCCGCACAGTTGGGAGAGGAGAGCCAGGTTGTTTGTGCTGTGTGCATGGTGGTTGGGGGGCAAATTAGGCTGCCTGTGCAGCAGGAGAGAGCCTTGGTTTGTGACTCCCAGCTGTCCAGAATTCAAATAGCCCTGTTGTAGGCCATTCTTTGGTTTTAGTGTTCTGTGCAATATTCCCATTTTTCCTTGCCTGAGGAATATTAGACTGTGGTATTTTTGACTTACACACAGGACGCTGACAAACATACCCCCCCCCACAAAAAAACCCCCCAAACCCAACAAAACAAACAAACAAACAAAAAAACCCAAGTACCTAAAACCAGCACTTTACTGAAAGAGTAAATGCCTTAGTTTGACGTGGCTCCCCAGTGTCTGTATAGATTGGGTGCTTCAGTGGGACTTCTTGGCACTTCTATCTAAAAGCTGATTCAATCAGCTTTTAGATAAAAGCACTAAAAAGCCCTGCTGAAGTGTGCAATCTATACGACCTTGGGCAAGCTGGGTCAAACTAACACAATGCATCTTCTGGGCATGTGCTGTGAATATGTTAGCATCTACACAGCTGCTGAACACAGGCAGTAGGATCATGGGCATAAGTCCCAGAATTCTACTGGAGAAAAAAAAAAACTAGCTGGGAGCAAAGGTTATCGTATTAGTAGTTTTAACAACTGAATAGTTGGTGCATTTGCCAAGGAAGTGGGAGACCCAGATTTTAGACCTGCTCGCACAGAGAGGGCTTGTACCTGCATTTCTGACTTCCAGGCACACTGCTTGAATCATCATGTGGCAAGTTAAGCATTATATAGCTTCCTTATCTAGCACTTCTTTAAAGCTGGACCCTACAGCCCTCAACAGCAAGAGCTATGTGGGGCTAGGACACGGAGCAAAAGCTAGTAGGCTTGTGCCTTAATAAAATGTCTGCTGCCCTAGAAAGGAACAGGCCCTGTATTTTAGCCTGGACACTTACTCCCATTGGGGCAAAAATGTTCCCTTTCTTTTTGTACATAAGAATACATTTTTTCTCTCCTGGGGGACTTATGCATGTGTCTAACTGTACCTGCTTTGCCACTGTAAAGGGGTGGATCACTGGGAGTGGGGTGTTGAAGTTGCACCCTCCTTGAATTCCTTGGAGTGATTCAAGCATGGTCATGTACCCCATGCACCCACCATCTGAAGCCCCCTTTCCAAAATCCTAAGGCGTGTCTACACATGTGAATGTTGTGGTGGGGTGGAGGGGTTTACTCTATAATGAATAACTAGAGCAGGGGTTCTCAATCCCCGGGCTGCAGCCCTATGCTGGGCCACAGTGGGTCGGTTGCCAGTCTGCAGCACAGTTAGCTGCTGAACCATGGCCCCCAAGAGTCAGGCAGAAAGGCCATTGCTCGATCTTCAGGACCTGCAGCAGCGTAGGGTTTGGCCTACCCACCCACCCATGGGGTGAAGGGGTATCTTTACCTGTCTTCTAGCTGGAAATTCCAACTGTGGTTGACTGTGACTGCTGGGCCATGGTTTGCTGGGTCATGGCATGAAAGCTTTGGGAACCCCCTGCTCTAGAGTAAGCCCACCCTGGCCCACAAGCAGGGATGTGGTAGCAAATTTGCTGCTCCTGGCAGCAGTCTTCTCTTACCCGCTCTGGCCCTGCACCAACACCCTGCAGCACCCAGGGGTAGCTCTTGGCTCCCACTGGGTGCTAGCCCAGGGGCTGGCTGGGAGCGCAGGGCCAGGAGATAGCTGTCTCCTGGCAGGGGCTGCGAGATTGTGCCTTGCCTCCAGGAGCTGCCTGCTGCCAGGGTGGGCTCTGGTGGTGGAGCCTGGGTGGGGACTATGTCCCCCTGCCCCAGCAGCAGGGAGCTTCTGGCCCTGACTCCCAAATCAGGAGTGAGGGGCTTGGAAACAGCTGCAGGGGAGGGGCAGGTCCCAGTCTCCTACCCCAATATGCTGGTGGGGCAGCCAGTAGCAAGCCCCCAACTGGGCAGGGATTCTCCATCTAGCCAGGGACTCATTTCTAGCTGCCCCACCAGCAGATGGGGTAGGTAGCATGGATCTGTCCCTCCCCTACAGCTCTTTCCAAGTCTTGCACCTTGATTGCCTGATCAGGGCGCGGGGCTGGGACCTGCCTCTGGCTGGGACAATTCCCGGTCAGCCCCGGGCTGTGCCTGGAAGTCTGCACATGTAGCCTGGAGCTGGCTGGGGAGTGGTCATAAGTGGCAGAAGAGGGGGGGCCTAATGGGGCTTGGCCCCACCAAACATGGGGCAGTAATAGGGGCACAAGGCAGCCCAGCTGCGGGCTTCCAGTGGCTGCAGCAGGGGTGGGGAGGGGAATGCAGGCAGTAGTGAGGGAGTGGGGCTACAGCTGGGGAGGGGCAGGCACTAGGGGCGGGGCGTGGGACTGAACCCTGAGCAGCTTGTTGTGGGGTGCAGCTCTTGCTGCTACGCATGCCCCCGGATCTATGTGGAGCAGGGTGGGCTGCAGGTGCAGGCTGGGGCTGGGCTCTTTCCAGTGGGGGAAGGAAACGGTGCAGACTACACTCGGGATGGGTGGCGGCAGCACTAGGAGGGGGCTGGGGGGGCTGCAGCCACCCCAAGATTTGCCATAGCCTACTCAACCATCCTTGTAGCGCCACCCCTGCCTGCTTGAGAGCGCAGTGCACCTGCCCTGCCCCTAGCTGGGAATGCCCAGCACTGCCCTGACCCCAGCCTGCAGTGGCAACCTACCTTGGCCTGCGCAGATCCGGGGGCATCC